ATAACTGGGAAGGATACGGGGACTCGAGAACCACTGAACGAGGTTGTTTCACGTTAACTCCACGTCATGAAGATTTTCGCGCACTGGGCTGATTTTCGAAATATTTTAATTAATTATAGCTTTCGTAGTACTGACATGCATTGTGAGGATAGTGTGGACCTGGTGACACATTTGCTGGCCGAGAATCGCAAACTACGGCAACTCTATTTGGCCGAGCATCAGAAGGCAACAGTCGAGAGACGAAGACGTATTACAGCGGAAGCCCGTCTTGCTGCACTGCTCAGTTTAGGATCCGTTGAAAGACGCAGACCGAACGAGTATGTTGTGATTTTCAGTTTTTTTGGGAAAATTTGAGTTTTGATCAAAGAAATGACCTTCCATCCGTCTTTCTGCTGATTCACTTGTCAAAGAAAGTTATAATAGAAAAGAATGGAAAAAAGAGAGGTAAAAAGGAAAAGAAAGGTAGGAAATAAAAATTAGGAAATTTGTGAAATTACTATAATAGTAAAAAATGTTCCAGTCCGTTAAGTCTTATACATTTCATACCATTACCACAATTGGACTTCGTCAGGGCTGTCTAAGAAGTGTTTCGGTCCATTAAGTCGTATACATTTCTTACCATTACCACAACTGGACCTCATCAGGTCTGTCTGTGTTCCGTCCATTAAGTCGTATACATTTCTTACCATTACCACAACTGAACCTCATCAGTACAACGATTGTGGTCATGCTTTCTGCTTGATGCTTGACTTTTTCTTTTCGCAGCTGCTATCTGAAACTTTTGAAAATTGGTGGTTTCTCAAACAGATTTTGCCTGGCTATTTTCATCTCAGTTACACGAATATATGGTAAAATCATGCTGAAAAATACGTTGTTGTATCCCAAGGGGAAGTGGTTACTGATGAAACAGTGGGATAGGAGATGATAGGGGATCAGTCTAAGTATCATGTGTGGCGAGATATGTCTGCATGCAGTCTGTGTTTCATCCCACCCTGTTGGAGATCCGATCTTTGTTGGGAACGCCGCTTCCCGACGTTCAGCTGGAATGTCAACATAAGATGACTGAACTTTTTTATTTTTGTGTTTTATAATTCCGATTGGGAAGTGAAGAGGCAAAGCGAAAATTTCGCCCTTACACTTTTTTTGCTAATTTTTGGCGAAGTAATGATTTTATTCTAAGTTTTAGAGCAGGAACAGAAGCGCACAGTGGTAATGTTCTCGACAGAGCCGCTGTAACAGTAAGTTTCAAACAGAGATTTTTATCCTCAGAATTTCACAAAGATTCTCAAATGCTTGTCCGGAGAATGCCGGGCAAAGGAAAAACAAATTTTATTCTAAAGAAATTACAAAAAAATTGTAAAATCTCTATTCCTTCATCTGTTCAGCACTTGGACTATTCAAAGATTGTGGCGCTTCAGGACGAGAGCAGAACTTTTGGAAGGAATTTTGCATCCAACAACAATTTTTGCCCAACTGATACTGATCAATTTGCTTCTGTGGTTAACAACAAAGTGAAAAATATCGAGAAACAGCCCAGCAGCCAAAAGTCCAGTGGTTCAAAGAAGGCAGGACGAGGATCTTATGAAAGGCCAAAGCAACTGGCGACTAATGGGCGACGGCATTGGTCATCAGATGAGAACAGAAGTGGGGAAGAAACGACTGGTTCAG